CTCTTTGAAGCTGACTGATGGCTTTAATTTGTAGGGTGTTTGTGCTTAAAGTGCTCAGGTTGGTATTATCCATCTGGTGTATACAACTCTCAGTGGTCAGGGCATTATAATACTGTGCCTCACTGGAGATTTTCCTGGAAGGGGATATAGGAGTAGCTCCAGCACAGCTCTGACACCAGTGAGACTGTGGCAAAGGAACAGATGTTTCTGTAGGTGAATAATAATCTGCTGTTATGGGGGGGTAGGGGGGCAGGGGGAGTAAGAATACTGCAAATGAACAGAAGTGGTTCATTTAGGTGTGTACTGGTTTATACTGTGCCTTCAGTTGTGCCATCTCTTCTAAGAGCCACCTTCGTTGTTTCTCATGTGGTGGAGCCCAGAACCAAGATAAGGGCCCCCTGTAAGTCATTCAAACCTGCAAGAGTCTTGGGAGGAAAGGAATTTGTCTGTTTATGGCTATCTGATGTGTAAGAGGGGACCAGTTTTCCCAATGAAGAGCTTTCTGTGGGGTGGGAGTCTGTAGCTTTATGAGCCCCTGACCCATTTACTCCCCAGAAACTCTGTGGAAATGTCAAAGATTTGAACTACTATAGCTCAGACTGCATGCACTTTTCTGTATCACTTCCTTTTTACTCAGGGCCCCATATTTGGGTGCAGGAGTTGCTGGGACACCCATTCATGGGAGACAGTGGGCTGAAGCAACTGTTTCTTCATCCAGGACAGATTAATGCAAGAATTCATGTTATTCTTTGTGCAAGTGCCCAGGGTCATACAGAGAGTAAAGCAATGCTGGTATTTGTTTTACAGTGGGCTACAGATGGAGAGACTCCAAAAGGCTGCCTACACTAATGTGGGGAACATTCAGTGTAAAGAGCGTATTTTATCTCTCTTTTGACGGTTACTGGCTACTGGATTAGAAAAACACCAGGCTCATTACCTGCACAGGCTGCTGCCTAACCCAGGCACTGTCCCACCTGGGCCAAAACCGGCTTGCCAGAATAAAGACATTTCATTGTTTTTTTCCTGCAAGTTCTGCTGCACCTAGATCTCCATTTTATGACTATTGAAAGTGTTTTCCTTTTATTTGGATGATCTATGTACCTTATATTGACAGCTGCGCACTGCAGCGTTACTGCAGAGCTACTGTGCGTTAGGACAGGCCGTAATCGATAGGTGTATGTTTTTCAAGCAACAAGAGAATAGCTGAGATCCACAGAAGTAGAGTTTTAAAACCTGTACTGTGCTCCTATGAATCAGCTCAGTTCTAACTAGTTTAATTTAGAAAAAAGCCTCTTCAGCAAATGAAATTTTATGGCACCATTCCCGGCTGGTCTCACTTGCCATACAGACTCTGAACTGCAGCGCAGGTCAGAAGTAGACCTGAACTTTTCAATAAGAAGGTGGCTGATATTCAGCTGCTGCAGTGACAGGCAGCTTAGGGGGAAATGATAGAATAGATTAGAAATCTGGAACTGGGTTTTGGTTTGAAACTGTATGTGAAGTACCTTTAAAATTGTATTTTCAAGTGAAGCAAAAGGTGGGAGAATCATTGGAAAGGAAATCACTGTCAGCAACCATTAGACTTAAAATTAAACCTGCTGCTTAATTTTTACAAGCATGTATAAGCATGTTAAACTGCTGCTGCGCGCTACCAGCAAGCAGGTTGAACATCAAAATGCTGTAATACTGTTTACTTCTTTGGCTGTTTTGCCACTGAAGTTCTCAAGACCTTACATGCATAGCCCCATCAGCCATCTCACCATTCCTGCAGCATAAACTCCAGGTACTGAGCACTGCAAAACTTAACGTATGCATACAACTGCCTCTTCTCAATAAGCAGTGGTTGTTTAAAGATGATTCAGAGCATGGCCAAAAATAGATGGAAGATGAACTTTGAAAAGTCCAGCTTATTTCCAGGTTTTTCACCTTTTGAACTGACAGCTCTGAAGGGAAAAAGAAACTGGTGTAGACAGTGAAAGCCCATAGCAGTGGCTCTGTTCAAAGTGTGTGACAGATCGAAGAAGTCAGGAGCTAAGTGACAGCAGAACTCCCCAGGAGAAAGGAGATCTTTCCCAGGCTGAAGAAACTGGTTCCATCTCTCCTGCACTTGCCAGGAGACATTATGAGGCTTGTCAGTCCAGCTAGCTCCAATTTAGGTGAACACTTGCTTTGGATGGGGCATTGCCTTTCCCAAGTGGAAATGCATCCATGAAATGCTTTCAGACCTATGGATCTTCCTCAAAGGACCCTCCAAGCACTCTTAATCTGTCTGCCCTGGTTTCCCTTCCTGCAATAAAAGTATTCAGATCTCCAGAATGAATCTCATAAATAGAGAGCTAGGTTAAGGCCCAAATACTCTCTGTTGATTTAACAAGCCTCTTGTTGTTGTTTTAGCCTAATCATGCTGTTTTGATGGGTTTACCTTGCAAGAAGCCCTATGTTGTGTTTTCATTGTGTCCAGCTAAGCATGCTTTGTTTTCCACTGATGTTGTCCTATATTTAGTGTTTTGACTTTACATGACCCTGACACTGTGTAGGGGGAGGAGGAGGAAAAATGTATTGCTGATGGCTAATCCTTTGCATTGCTCAGACTGCATCCACTCTAGCAACCTTTTTCATGGTAATATTTTCTGTTAGCAATAAAAGGATTAATTCTAAAAATCAAACTCTTTGATTATGATAAGCATAATAAATATCTTAGACAAATTACTATCCTTTTAAGAATATTAGTACACGAAGACCTTTGCTCTCCTTGGCTGGGCTTGAGTCTGCTGGTACATGCGTTCGTACCATCTGCACTATGTGCTAATACAACTCCTTGTTGTCTGATCTTCCTGGGAATGCATTATATAGATTGCAGCTGGTTCAGAATGCAGCTGCCAGGGTCACGACTCACACTAAGATTAATCATTACGCCTGGGTTAGCTTCATTACTTCGACTACCCATTACATTTAGCAGAGATTATGAATGTTGCTTTTAACTTACAAGGCTTGGACTAACACCTACTCACCTCAGCAACATGCTTTTATGGTATGTTTCTCTTGGTATGTCTCCTAGAGCAGCAGAGAGTCGCCCTAAATGCTGTACGTTCAGCTTGAGAAGAAAACCATCCAGCGCTACGTGTATGAAGTGTGTGGGAGTCTCACATCTCTGGCTTCACTCTTCTAATGTGGACCGATTTCTTCCCTTGCATACTGTCAATGCAGAGCTGCTTGCCAGAGAAAACAGTATGATGAAGAGGAGGATGAAAACATCGTCACCACCCCATTCATAATTAACCTTGCAATTTACCTAGTTCTCTGGATTCACTGCCAGGTATTTTGGGTGGTAACCATCCCAAGAAATGTGGTTTCGTAGGAAGGAGAGAGAGCTAGTGCGAGTACTTCCATTGCACATGAAACTAAGATCATGAAACAATATGACATTTCCCAACTGTAGTCTACAACATAAATTCAGCTAACGGAAATGAACAGGAGTCTAACTCTGCTGCATTCCCTGAAGCTGAGCCTCTGAGGTCCTCTCAAGCATAAAGGGGAAAAAAGCCAAATGTACAGAAGACATTTGAAGGACAATTGACTAAATGTGCCTGTGGTATTCCACATCAGAGCTATGAACAGGAAACTTGAGGTTACCTTTTTTATGTACATATGGTTTAGGTTCCTGCCCCTAGGATTGTGGCAAAAGCTATTGTTGCTAAAATAAACCTGATTGCTCATGTGTAGGGTAGACAGTAAAAAATAATTACTTAAATTATTTTACATGCTGTAATGATGTACATGATGTACAGGATTCTATGTCACCAAACTACTCAGTGCTGAATATAGTAAGAAAAAAATACCACTGTATCAGAGACCCAGAGGGTCTGACAGCTGCTGTGTGAATAAACACCCTGTTTAAGGGAAGAAACAAATTTTCACAAGTTTAATTTGGCAGAGTATGGACAGATAGGGCTTGTTTCTCTGGTGAAAAGAGTTCTGCTTTGTAATGGGCATCACAGCCAGAGGTTAGTTTCTTGCCAGTTTCTGGGAGGTCAGACTTCCTAAAAAGAGTCTTATAGCAATGGTTGGCTTTATCTCAGATAGAAATTAAGTACTTTGCTGAGGTGCTTAAGCCAGGAGTCTGCCTGCTTTTGGCAACCTTGTCTGTCAGTGATGAGAGACCCTTCCTCCTGAGGGCAGCTGTGCCAGCAGGTATGTTTAGCCACGCTCTGCAGGTGTCCCTTCCTCATCACCAACTTGGAGGTTTAGATAAGAAGCACCTCAGGTTGGCTGCTAAGGCTGAGCCAGAGGAATCCAACTGCAGTATAAATATAGTTTAGACCTATGAAAATCATGCATAGCAAGGCTCAGACCTGAGTTGGGTTCTAACAATTAAGCACTTGAAAACTTCCAGGTCTAATATGCTGGTCTGAAGGCGGTTGGTGGAGAAAGCACAGAACAGGTGAAAGAGCAGCTCTTTGTCCCTGTAAGTGGTCACTCCATGTGCTCTATTAAAAAAGAGGAAATCTCTGGAGAGGTATCTTTGAAAGGTCCTTGTGCTAAAGCCAAGAAGAGCCCTTTCTGCTTGCTGTGGGGGCTCTAAGGGCTCATCTGTGGGGCTCCTTCCTCAGGAGGGTGGAGCTGCAGGAGCCAGTCAGGCATTAGGGTGAACTACAAAACCTGGGGAAGAGCTGACTACCAGGTGTCTAAGATTTTGTCTGATTATGATCTTTTCACCCTACCTCGAGGTCAGCTCAAATCTGAAGTGCAGCAGAGGAAAGAGTTTTTTTAGGAGGTGAGTGTGCAGTGGGGCTCTGTTCCTTTGTGATTTCTCAAATGTTTGTTAGAAATCAAGGCATGGCCCTTGAGAGAAAAGGGTCAAAAATGGTGCTGCTAGCCTGTTTGTTGAAGATGGGTGGTGTCCCTGCTTTTTGCAATTGAAGGTGTGGTCATTTGGGGATAGACTCAGTAATGCAGGGGTCCTTTCTATATCCTTATCTTACTAAATTTGTTGTGTATGTGGTCTCAGAGTGATTTTGTTGTGCATGACTTAACACTTAGTCTTGTGATTTTTGATCAGAATTGTGAGGTAAGTGGCTTCAGTAAGAACTACAAGGCTCTTTGATGTAACAGCTTCAGAAATGCTGAAGATTTTGTCATGCAAAAAATCTGATTTGTTTTTTTTTTTCAAAATCAGTTCTCTCTTTGATTTCAGTCCTTCCAATGTTTCTTGTGTCTGGGTGTATGGTAATTCCTAAGTCTTGCTATATTGACCACTGTATTTCATGCTGTGATGTGAATCTTTTACTTTCAAAGCAAAACTGTCCTCCTTTCAAGAGCTGCATATATGGGTACTGAAAACATAGTTCCTGTTGCACTCACAGGTGACAATCTTGTTTCCCAGTGTCTCACTTTGGCTCTAACCTTGTGAAGCTTGGGTTTCTCTCTCCATGTTTAGTGGAAGACACTTCAGTTGAACATCTCCTTCCTGAAGAAAAGGTAGTGTACAGGGTTCCTACCAGTTGTTTTAGAAGCTAATAGATACGTGTGTATGTATGGAAGGCTTAAAGGTGGGATTGTGTGCAGCTGTTAATCTCCACAAGAATATGCATTAAGGATCTAGTTTAAGCACAGAGGTGAGGAGCAATGATCAGTAATTTACCATGGTGCCTAAGGGATGTGTGGCAGAAGGCTGGACTGCAACTCTGCTGTCTGTCAGCAGATTTCTGTGGGATGAATCTCATTCTGCTCCAGGTTCCTCTGAGATCTGCCTGTGTATCTGAAATTTATGGGAGGTGAATGATTCTGGGGTGAATTACAAGGCCTCTGCACCTGAAAAATATGTGGGTGATAACTAAGACTCATTCTGTATGTTTGAATCTCCTCGTTCCCTTTTCATAGCAGAAGAAAATCCTTTCCTCCTTGACTGCACGTTAGTTCTGCATATTATTTACCATCTTGCTATTGTGCAGTCATAAATTAATAAAGCGATGGCTTTGCATGAAGCTAAGAAACTGTGCACTTTGGCTTCTTTCAATGTGATCATTCTGGAGTTGGAAGAAAGGATGATGCTTATTAGATGATGTTTCTTTAAATCCCTTAAGATTCAGATTTTCAGCTCAGTCCTCACCAGACCTCTTTGTAGATCACTTATGTGCGATACCCTGGTTGCACCTATGACTTGGAGATGCCTGTATTCAAGTGACCTAAATTGCATTGAGGGAGGGAGGGAAAGGAGAAGGGGAGGACTGGGGGATGGTGGGAACCAGTCTGTCTGAAAATTCTGCAAAATGCAATTCTCCTTCCTGGAGAAATTAATTCAGAATCAGACTGGTTTAAGAAATCCCTGAAATATAAAGGAATAGATCAATTTAGGCAGGAAATTTTTTTCATGTAGCAGTTAAGATTGTGTACAGAAGTAAAAATCCAATTAGGGATATGGTTGCAAAATATGGAGGCAAAAGAGGCTTTGCAGTGGGATGTCTGGCACTGTATGATCCAGTAAATGAACTTAAATTGGCTGCATGGATATAAAGTTTAGATGAGAGTGAAGGAATCTTCTGGAAGTGATGGTCCCATTAGCAAAGTGATATGCCTTTATTAACGTTATGCAGCTGCAGTAATCTTAATGGAGCAATCTAGTGTTCTTCCCAAAGGAAAAAGGAAGGTCTTATCTCATTTATTAATTGTCTTTCTAGCACTTATGAGTTCATCTGATCTTGGATAAGTGAAAATTTTGATGCTGCAGACAGGGAGTGGGTTTAATACAGGATGTTGGTTCTCAGCAAGGGTTTGTGCTGGTTGAGTTGCATCTTGCTCTGTATTTCTATCTGATTTGACTACTGGCTGTGTAAATACTTAGTTTGCACTGTAGGTTGAATTAGTCACCCGTTACTAGTGTACAAAGCAAGTGTTGTCTTCTTTCAGAGGCTGACGAGTGGCATTTAAATGTACCGCTGTCAGGATGCATGAGAGACATGAGGCTGCACTGCACATCTCTGATGCTTCTTCTGGCTAGAAAGTGAGGTAATGATTAACAGGGAAAGTGAATCGGGTGCAGTTATAGAAAGCTCTGTCTTTGAACCCTGAGAAAGTGCTGATACTAACGGCAGTAATCAGATGTTTTTGTCTGACCTCTACAATCTTGCTATGCTTTTTTTTCTTTTTTCTTTATCAGAAAAGAGTGTAGTGGGAATAGGATTTCACATTTCTCTCAAGATACCTGGCTAGAAAACAAAACAATGCCTGCCACCCCTGATTATGTGGGAAATGCAGGCTGTTCCTTATGTTGCATAGTAATTTTTAAACTTGTAGGGAAAAGCTTTGAATGCTTTGGTGAAAGTTGGCACCTAGTAAAACCACAGTGGATTTTTTCCAGTGTGGAGATACCCTTGTGGGGACAGGCTGTGTGGCCTGGGCAGTGGTTTTGAGGAAGAATCGTCCAATGCCTGTGCAAGTCATCTGTGGCCAAGACATGCTGGAGAGGTGAATGGAGGATGTGAGTTGTTAGAAGAGCAGAGAGGCTTGTGAGTTGATAGAAGAGAATTCTCTCCTTGGTATGATTTCTCCCCTTGTCATAGTAAAGGGAGGTACCTTAAGGATGAATTGACAGCATAGGACTGCAGGCTCTGAATCCCTTCCTGTCAGTTAGGGATGTATTTTGGCTTTGAATCTTGATTTCCTCCCCGTCTCTCTAGCCTCACCCCCGTTCATCTGGGGATTTGGATACCCACAGCAGAGGGCAAAATACCACCCAGTTAATTCTCTGGAGTATAGCTACTGCACAGCCTCCTGATGGGGAGCTGAATATATGGTTTATGCCCTAAAGCAAAGTGTATTATGCTTAGAGAACAGAGTGCAATTTTTTCTTTTTTCTTTGCTGCTGGAATAAATTATCATGTCGGAGTGCTGTGGTTTGGACTTATCCCTAGGTGGGCATCACCAGTAATGTGCATTTAGCAAATAATAATATTAATTTGAAACGATGCCTATTGCAAATTTTATGGGTTTGCAACAGATGGAAAATTATAGTTGAGGACTTCTAAAATATTATTTTTTTCAAGATTAACCCCAATAATGTTTGCCTCTCTGCATCCTTCAACATGGTTTTTGTAGGTCACATAATGCTGCCATTTAGCCATATGGACCTGTTAAATTTTCTGAATCTAATATGCAGCACATGTGGGGTGAAAAAATCCAAGAGAAAGATAAAATGTCTCAGTCCCTGATATTCATTTATGTCTTTGTCAGCAAAGAATGCTGACATTATATGTTAACAAAGCTTTTACATTTATTTATGTGCCTGGATATATCTGTAGGTCCATGTGCAATATTCAGTGTAAACATAAGGTGCTCTGAAGTTTTATTTACGAATTCCTGTGTCCAGTTGTTAACTTCCTCATGAAACATCTGCCAGGCCAAAATGTGACCAAGATACAAGGGGGATACCCCCAAACGTAGAAGACCTGGAGGATGTGAGTAAAAGCATCTCTTCTCTGTATGCTTAGGCTGCAGTGCTAGTGCTGTGTAGCGCAGGAACAAGTGAAGCGATGAGGCAAAGCTTGAGGGACTGTTCCAGAGTGAAGGCTGGCTAGTGTTTACAGCTGTGTGATGCATCTTATGCTGTAGGAGTTGTTAGTTGTGGAGGAAAATATTTGTGGGTTCAGGACTTTATTCTTTTGTCCAACTGAAGAAAGAAAAAATTGGTAATCTGTGAAATAATAGTTTATTTCTTTCCTTAGACACACACACAGAGGATGTTAAAGTTTCTGTAAAGTATATTTATGGTGTTCCTCAAAGCTGTGAGGGCAGAGTATATAATCAACAGTGTATAAGGAAAAAAATCTGAAACATCTTTAACTGTTAGAAGACATGACAAGAAGGACGCTTGTGTTGTTAATCCCCATCCAGTAGGCTGTTGTGAGTGGAATTTGTGCAGAAGTTGGCTTAGGTCCAGGTTGCAGCAGAATTAAGCGCCCACACCTGCACGTACAACTGCTTGTTAAAGAAGCAATGCCGTAGGCTTGAGCAGTTGAGTATAAGTTCTGTTTCTTTTGCTGAGACTGCATGCAAACAGTTTCTTTCCCTTTTTCTTTTCCCCTGCCAGAACTCCGTACCCCATGACAGAAGGGATGTAGCTTTCTTCACTTGGCAGCAAAATTGCATCAATCTCTTGAGCTTCCAAACTTTTATTTTGGTCCTAGAAATTCATATTGGCTAGTTATTTTAAGGGGCTTGCCTTTATTCAGATTTTGAAGTATTTGCAGTGATGAATGGGAGCAACTCTTGTGAAAGAGTTAAAGGGAAGAAGAAGTAGCAGAAAAATTTAAACTATTGTATTTCTACAAAGTAGCCTTTGCTGAAACTTACACTGCCATTCTCAAAAAGCAGTTAAGTTGCTTAAGAGGTTTCAGGTTGGCTGGCTGATCAATATCAACTATTAGTAATGCTATATTAGGAAAGACCTGTGCTATACACTCAGGCCTTATTAGCATGATGTCCGTTTATTGATACTAACACTTGGTCATATACAACAAATTATTTTGAAGTTATTTTTGATGAATGTTTCTCATATGTGTTATATGGCCTGATCTTGCAAACCTTTACTCATGAGGGTAGTCAGTTGTCTTCAAAGATTTGCAAGAATGGCCCATATGCAATACAACCTCGATTATCCAAATGTCAGGGGAGACATTGCATAAGTTCATATAATCGACATTTTGAATAATGAGGAAATTTTCAGTGCAATTAATAGATGTCAGGGGACATGACTATCTTTCAGATGACAGAGAGTTTTCAGGAAATTTAGATTTTGATAGCTAAGTTCCTAATGTATATGCTACTGACAAGACTGCAATTCAGAACATCTGAAATGTGCTTATATGTTCCTTAATAGCCCTTCATGCAGAATCAGACCGATTTCTATTTACTGTGATATTAGTGTTGAGGGTCAAATTGTCACAAGCGTTTAGCTTAACATTGCAATTACTCTGCTATTAAGAGTTAGATTCCAGGAACACAGTGTTAAATCAATATTGGAATTGTCTGAAGCAAAATATCATTAGGGAATACATCAGCATCAACTCTGGAATATTATTTTAAGAAAAAATAATCCCGTAGAGACATGAAAGTAAATGAAGTTTAAAGGAGGAAACTCCTGGAGGTAATGAAAGAAGAGAGAAATCCAGACTCTTTTGAATGAATGTGGAAATACCTGGGGGAGCATTGATTCGTGTCACAATGACACTCTTTAAACTTGGAGTTGGTCAGTCAAAGGTAACCCAAAGCCAGAATTCCTGTTTTCTGACTCCTGTTCATCTCTGCACAGCCAACAGAAGGTGCTGCGGTGGGAGGCACTAATTTCCTTCCTCCCCAGATGGCTGCACATGAGCACCCAGGGATGCATATGGCTCTGCTGGCGCCCTGAGCAGAGAGTACCGATGGTGTCTCTGATTGCCTGTCTTCAGGTCTGCACCTCCACTGCGTAATCAGAGTTTATCTTTAACTGCTCTAACAAGCAATGCAGTCTTGCTTCTCAAAAGCTTAGCAGCAGAAGCTGAATTATGATGATCACAACTGATGGGAGTGTTTGGGATTCTGTCCTGAATCAAAATACTAATGTTTGTAGGAAGCCAAAACCGATGCATCAATTTATTTCGGCACAGAGATGAGCAATCGCTTGTTTCCTAGGAAACATGGGGCTGTGCATATGCAGCTCCGAATGTGTGCCCTAATGTTTTCCTTCATGTTGATAGAGTAGAAAGTTTGTCTGATGAGATCCATTATGCTTAAAGCAGAAGGGAAAATAAATTTGGAAAGTTGCACTATTTAAAAAGAAGATAGCAGCAATACTGCCAGAGTCATAAGGAAAAGGCAGAAATAATTCAGGAAAATAAAGGAAGTATCCTCTCTGTCTATCTAATCTAGGAATCTGGAGATTTTTATAGTTGCAGAGCCATCTGCTAAGTTTCATTTATTGTGCAACTTTACTACCTCACCATCATCTGCTCATTAATCTGCCTTTTTTAGGTCTACTTCTGAAATTCTGAACCTCTGAGCATCTGTCAAATAGCTGCCACTGTTTTTGAAACAGTACTGTAGTGTAGACTAAAGGTTTTTGTAGTAAGTTGTTTTGCTTGATGTCAGTATTACTCAGCAAAAGCTTAGTCATTTGTAAGATGTTCATCTCAAGCTTGTCAGATAACCACTTCCACCACACCCTAACTCTTAGTTACTCTGTAGGAAGAAATACAAAAACATGATTTGTGGTGACGTGTGATTTGTGGTGATGTGTACTATGTCTCAAAACGTGGCTTGGACTGCCTTTCAGCATTAGGTCCTCTTTGGATTTGAGCACTGTGCTTGGGTGGCGATTGCCAAAAAGCACTGAAGATTTGAGCACAGATCACTGACCCCAGCAGGAGTCTTGCCATTGACTCAAATGGCTGAGACTTGGGCTGAGATCAAGGACTTTTGGATGTTGGATTTGGCTTTAATACAGTGTTTCAGACCTGGCCATTCTATTGTGACCCGCACAGACATTGCTGAGACGAGCACAGGAGAAAAAAAGGCATTAATATCTATCTTTTCAATCAATGCATAGAATTCCTCAGATCCAGCACCACATCCTTTGGAGGTGGTCAAATGTTTCATTCATGTTCATTGTGAACAGCAACAAAAAAAGTAATCTAGCTGAAATGCAGAGGCCTGGCAGCTATGTCTGGGTGCGTCTCAGACTAATCCATACCTTTCCTTTTTGTGCATTATTCTAACAGCAGGTGATCTGATGTGTTACCTGAAAATGCACTTTGAATTTACAATTCCTGCTTCCTGGCCCCACTGGAGGTGAGGTAATCCATGAAGCCCCAGGAGCTGAATGAGCAGTGGCTGCCTCTGTGAGTAAATGCTGCTGGAAGTAGGTATTAGCAGGTCTGAGGGACTTGAGTCTTCTGCTGCCAGATGGCTGCCAGGATGTCACTACCCTGTGTGAAGCTTATGGATGCCTTTGTCATTCCTGCCCTGAGGTTCCCTGATGTGTTTCTTTTAGGCATTGATTTCATTTTGCCTGCCTTAGGTAAATCTCAGTAGCAGTGGACGATTCAACTCAGGAATTGTTTTCTTTGGGGACTAATCATTCTGCCTTGATCTACACTCCTAAATTTAGAGGTTAATCTCTGCAGGCTTCTTCTGGGGAAGGCTGAAGCTTGCACTCTGAAAGCTCTTGTGAAAGGACTAACCCTAGGCATTTTGAATCACACTCACTCGGAGTCTTTCTCTCCTGATTATGTATGGGACTAAGGAGACTGTATTTCTAATTTAGACAGTTACAGATGAGGTACCACAAGATGGATGAGCTGATCTAATAGCCTGCTGATACTTCCTGGCCATGTGTTCCTGCTGTTTTTCTTGCTTCAGCTTGGGTGCGTGTGCTAAAATGGAAGGGAACTACCCCAGCAAAAGAGAGCCAAGGCAACTTGAGTCCTTTGGCTGGGGTGAAGGTGGGGACCAGAGCTGGTGGCAGAAAGAGGGTTACCCTGTAGGCTGAGAGCTCTCAGCTAAGACTGTGATCTTTGCTAGCCCTATATCCTTTAACTGAGGGCCAAAATTGTCCTGTTACTGCTGCGACTTTCTTCAGTTCTTTGAACAGCAGCGACTCTGACATGTAGTACTGCATTCCTGACACCACAGAGGCCTCTAACTAAGAGGCCTCTAACTACACTGCCTTGATGAGGGGCCAAGAGGATTAGCCAGCGATGCTCCTGAGATAGGAATGAGGATGCATCCCTCTTGCAGGAATGCACTTGAGTTACTGAGGGAAATAGCCAAAAATCCGTAATTACCCTTTCCTAGAACTGAGAAATGAACTGATAGCTTCAGCCTTCAAGACTGAAATAAGGATTCTACATTGGGCCAGAAAGTGAATGTCTGAATTCTGCAATTAACATTTCAGGCTCAAATAATTGAGTTCTGTGATTTTATTTTTTTTTTTTTTTAGAGGTTATCTTCTTGTGTGACCGAACTAGTGCATGTGCGTATGGCTCAGCAGGGAATGGATCATGAGAGGGATTACTTTGTGGCTGTGCAGTTGGATTTTGACAAATCCATCCAGTCCCATGCTGTGGAATGTGTGGACAAGGTTCAAGTTTGCACTGATGGAAATGGAAAGCTTTTGCTATACCGAGTTCAATTTGTTTTCACATGTGGTGTGTTGTCTATCTGGTATGTCTGTTTTATTTATAGCTATATAAATATATTGAAAAAAAACCCCAGCTAGTTGGCGATTTTCACATCAATATTGTGTTTTCAACAGAAAATGGCTTATTAGTCAGCAGAGGCTGCTGGCAAAGTTTTATCGCTTGGATCTAAAAATATTTGCTTTTAATGAAACATTGGGAAATGAGGACCTGGAATTGTGGGTGTATTTTTTTTTTCTTTCCTCCCTGTAAAATCATGAAGAACTTGATGCATCTGTTAACAAATCGGTTTTTGTTAAAAACATTTTGAGTGAAAGTATATCACAGCTGGCTCAGACATTATGTACGCATTATGTATGTGTTATGTTTTGTCTGCTGAGACCACTGAAAAGAACTTCTTTGTGTCTAGTAGGGAAAATTTGCAAAGGCTGAGATCTGTTGTGTTTGGGGGGTTTTTGTTGTTTAGGGTTTAAATAAAACCCACCCTGGTAAATTTGCCAATATTTTCATTAGGTCTGGCAGCTCTTCTTTGAAACTCTGAATTCCAAATGGTGTTCCCTGTTTGCTTAGAGAAAGCAGGGGGCCCACTTCACAGTGTTTGCTCTGAGGTTGGTGCACTGACAGGAAGGCATTTGTCCACATTTTTTTTATTATCAACTAGAGTGAGCAGTTTAATAACTAGGATTAAAGCATCAGATCATGACAGAGTAGTATTAGCTGCAGGAACCAAGTTGGAAAGGATTCCAGATGCGATTAGATGAATACCTGCCCTTTAGGGGAAATAGTTAAGTGGGCCTCCGTTTTTATTGGTAAGGTAAATGTTTCTTGGGCCATTCTAGGCAGGTATCCCAGGTTTGCTTTTTCACACAAATCCCTAGTGGCAAAGAATAGACTGTATTCCAGACTTTAGCCAAAATTATCTCCCTGGTGAAAATCAATGATTTTGCCAGAACACACAAGATTCTGCTATTGCCTTAGATTATTTACATTTTTGTTATAAATGCAAAGGTGCACCTACAACATGCTGGTAGAGTAATATTTCCTTAGGGGAAGAGGGGAGTGGGGAAAAGTTGTCATCGGAGATCTCTGCTGAAGGGGAGAGTTCCCCCTCGCCCTGAAACAAATAGCAAAACCTCACTGGTTTCCGTGGGATCAAAAATTATCATGAAATTACAACTTCCCTTATCTAATATAAGTAAAGAGATGCTTAAGTATGTTTGTCATCACTGAGTTTGTAGTATATTCACAAATATGTGTTCAGGGGTAGGAGAGAATGTATTAAAAATCAGATGCAAGAAAATTATTTTTGTATTAAAAGATTTGTGTGGAGATCAAGCTAATGTAAAAACTTTCTTGTTTGACTGCAGAAGTTCATTCTCTTAGGAGCTGGCAAATTCTGTCTTGCTGTTCCAGGATGAATGCTGAGAATAAATTTTTCTCTGGTATTAACCACTTTGGGATCTCTTTGCAAAAGTGTATAGGTGCCAAAATAACTGTGTAAAACTGGCCCTGGAGCTACAATGCACTTTCCCCATATACTACATTGCAACACTGTTCCAGTCTGTGTGATGGGAGATGTATTGCACAAAAAGACCTCACAAATTTATCTATAAACAGCTCTACTGTCTGCCTAGTCACTGTATGAGAAAAATGAAATGGACATAGGGCACCAAGTTAATATTGGTGAAGAAATAAAATGTCAAGTTAGAGTATATGATAATCTTAAAACCTCTCTTCCCTGGTGAGTCCTGAGCACTGGGGCTTCAGGATGTACTTCAACGTCTTCTAAGGCAGAACACAAACATAAAGCTTCGAGGGAGTACTTGAGAAGGTGACCCTTGTGTCCAGATAAGTTTCAGTAAGAAATTATCAAAACTGATGACCTGCACCTTTTCACAGTCGTATGTATTTGCTCTATCCTACTTAACTTCAGAGTTATGTGTAACTTAGTTTCAGGGATCTTGAGGCTCACACAGAGAGGGACAGAGAATGGTGTAAGCTGTAATAGCTTCAGTCTAACCCTATTTTAGTGAATGCCTTTTTCTGCTCACTCTTCTGGCTGCTTGCTTTGTAAGACTTAACCTTTGTTTCCTTTTCCCTGTTGTGTGGAGGAGTGTTTCAGACAACATAGAACCACTTGGTGAAACTCACAGGCTCCACAATATGGTACTGTATGAAGGTGCTCTTATAGAATCATAGAACAGTTAGGGTTGGAAAGGACCTTAAGATCATCTAGCTCCACCCCCCCTGCCATGGGCAGGGACACCTCACACTAAACCATGTCCATGGCAGGGGGATTGGAGCTAGGTGATCTTAAGGTCCTGTCCAACCCTAACTGTTCTATGATTCTATGTTGCTCTTCCCTAAGAGAAGAGCATAGTCCTGAAAGAGTCAGAGGAAGAAACCTGCAAATATTGAGGTTTACAAGTTTTTCTTAATAGGTCTGGCCTGCACTAAAGTTTGTCTTTAGTTTCGCAAGTTGTGCATTTATCTATGGCCTGGTCCAAAGCTTACTGAAGTCAGTCTTTGTATGAACCTTGATGGACTTTTGATTAGTGCTTTTAGAGAATTTGTTTTGGCTTCTGTTTGAGAAACTTGCCTGGCTGACATGAAATTACAGCAGGCCACAGAAAGCACTTTATTTCCATCACCTGCAAGGGAAATAACATCGATATTTTTTGAACTTCTCAACCCTCATTTCTGAAATCCCTTGGTGCTACCCAACAGGGTGTGTGGCTGTTGTTCCTAACTAAGAATAATGCTTCTCTAGTGTAACGCGCAGGATCCTCATGGTTAAGAGAGTGGAGGAGGCTTGCCTGCTGGATATCACAAAAGATGGGTGCAGGTGAGGAGAGGGGCATCTCAAGAGACAGTGGGTGTTCAGTAAAACACAAAGCGACGTGTAAGACTATTTCAGCTTGACTGCCTTCCAAAATGTCCATGGCCCTCTTGGCAATGGGTCTTTCCCTGAGGAAATCCTTTCTGGTTTTTGAAGAACATACCCCTGGCCACCGCAAGTTTTCTGAGAGCGTTTCAACAACATGCCAGGTATTTCAGAGCTAGACCAGAATCAGGTGAAAACTGAGGCTTCACCACAGGTTGCAAGAAAGTATTTTTACAGGGGGAGAGGTAGATGACTTCAGGTTTAAGGAGCTGCTGCAGAGCAAAACAATCTCTCAGAGGTTGTTCTGGCAGACTTGTTTGGACCTCGTACAGTGGTTTCTGTTGCAAATGAAGAGCAGCCTCATTTGAAGGCCCAATCATGAAATGAGCTTTGGAAGAAGTGGTACAAGCTACAGATAATTCTTTTGTAGTTTGCTTTTTTTGCCTACTTTATTCTTCCCTAAAGTATTGCATTCTTTTCCTGACTGCCCCTAGGCCTTGCATAAGACCAAGTGGCTCTGATAAAAAGCGAAATCATGACAGTAATGAAATAATTCTCCTTTTCCTGCCTTTTCCTCTATTTTTATTGCTTCCAAAACAAATATTTAGGTTAAAAAGGCAAACAAAAAAGCCCCATCCCAGGTCCATAGGTGACATAGTCTTTCATATTTTTATTACTGCTTTAGTAACAGTTTTCCCCACACCTGTGGCTTTAATGAGGCTTGGAAAAAAAAAATGTAGGAAAACATCACTATGCTTCTCAGTCTGAATAAAACCATTTTTGATTTTCTGGGTTGGTCTGGAGCCTGTTGCAGTTGATGAGCCCTTCCAGTGGGCTTTGGATCAGACCCAAAGTTCCTTAATTTGGGGGGGGGGGGGGGGTGGGTGTCTGGGAAGGGGAATGCAAATGCATATGGGTGCTACAGGGTTGATTTTTAGAGGGGCTTTTGCAAGAGCAAGCTGTATTGGGCCTTTTCAGCAGAGGGTGCTCCCCACTTTAATTCATGTTTGGAACAGCTGTGAAGGTAACAGCAGGGAAAATCCAAGTGCAGAAGTGTTTTTGACCTCTTCTGCAGTTTCACAGCCCTCTCCCTTTGCCCCCTGTGACATGTGGGCTTCCTGGGGTGATGGATGGCTCAGAGGAAGAGCGGCTTTAGCATGGCTGATGTGATACTTTTATTTGGGAAGCTGCTTGAAACTGAAAGAAGTCAAACTGATGGCAATTTTAAAAGAGAAACTAAAAACTCCAAACATGAAAATTTCAACTTTTTAATTAATTCAGGTTTTTACCTGCGCTTTTATTTTTGACCGAACCTTGTTTGGGTGCTTTGAAAAGATGAACAACCATTCCTTTTCTTGTATATGTCCTGAATTTACATTATATGAGCAGCTGCTTATGATAATTGATAAAGATAAATCAGTCAACCTGTGATAATTTAAAAACAGAAGTAAAAAGACATACCTTTTCTAATGGCTTTGTCCTTAAAGCCTCAGGTATGATTTTTTTCATCCCCTCTGAAATCAATATGGATGCTTTTGTCTCAAAACAGAGACCCGAGTACCAAATTGTTGAACAGATTTCTCCTTTGAAAATGCCACTGTCACTTGAAAATGCCATGTGTACAATGCAGCTGTCTGACTTCTCAGCATTACAAAGAAACAAGGCCACGTGAAGCCTATAAACAAGCTTGTAACTCAATGTGTAAAATTTCAATGTTTATTTCAAATGTTTTGCGACTCTCCTTTGCCGCAGTGTGTTTGCTTGCAAAAAGCTCCCACCCTTCAAGTGATCATATTGAATTTTGTAGCTTTTGTCATCACTTCTGTTCACACACTCTTCCACAAATCTGAATAATGCGGTATGTTTTTATTGTCAACTTTTCCTGCTTTTTAGTCTTGAATTTTTTCTTTTTTTTTTTTTTTTTTTTGCCACTGCTCCCACTACAGTTACATTTTGGTTTTTTAACTCTTTCTAGTCCTTCCTACCAAGTCTTTTATTTACCATCCCCTCTTCAGATGTGGGCTTCTGAGTTTCCTGTCCTGAATTGCCACTGAGATGCATGGTTTTAACACATTCTTGTTACAGAATCATCAAAACAGTCCTCATGGCTAATTCAGCAAAGGGGAGGAAGTGACCGGCTGCTGTTGGTGTTGATGAATATGATGACTGTATCAGTTTGTCATCTGGCATTACCATTTGTCCTCTTCTTCAGCTGGTGTTCATTTGAGTTTATGATCTTACAGAAGTATCAGTATATGATGCTTTTATTCAAATTTGGCCAAAAGAGATCTTTCAATAGAATAATAAATCCTTTTTGTTTCAGCTCTCTGTATATTGCAACACCAGCTTGTGATATTGTGATGAAAATTTTGTAGTCCAAACAGATTTGGTTCAGTTCAGTGGTTGCATATCAAATCTCCAAGGCATATTTATGAACAGATGACACCCTTACCACAACCAGACTGGCACATGAGAAGGCCTTTTGCTCCTGGAAGTGCTGTTTTATAGAGTGAGATGTAGATGTGTTTAACGCTCATATCCTCTAGTCGAGAGGAGTTAGGATTTCAGAGGATCTAAGCCCTGGTTCCTTCACTTCCCAAAGAATATAGCACAGTACCTGCATCCTCTTTTTAAACTGGAGTTGACCTTCCAGCTTCAGCTGGAGTGGCGTTGAGAGGAATGCCTCTCAACAGAGACAGCTGCTGTGTTGCAAACCGGAGCTGGCTGCCCTTTTCAATAATCTTGGCAATTTAACCCAGTGCTTTCAGAGAGAAAGTGCAAAGGATGGTCCTTAGTGTAGCACAAGAAATGATCAGCATGGGTCTTGTTATCATTAATAGATTTATTTTTTTTTTTCCTCTCTTGTAGGTCTTCAGTGCCATTGCTGTAAGAAGGAAGTTTGCAAACTACAGTCTTCCTTGCTTTACTTCTTGAATTTTCCAGTTGCTGCTGCTGACAAGACAGACTAGGGCCTGCTCTGACATGACCAGTGCTAACTCCAGAAAGGTATGTTTACCATCTTTGTATGTTCAACACATCCTTAGCCTGGTAATGGCCCTGTGGGTGCAGTGAAGAAGCAAAGAATAGTTACTGCTGTGTAAGATTATGAGATACTGCAGGGGATCTTTGCAGGCTTTATGGTAGGCGTTTGAACATATGTAAGTACATTGCCAGGCTCTGTGTGACCAAAAGAGTTTGGGAGAGGTTCATGTATGACAATTCAGAGTGTCATTGTATACTTAGCTGCCAAGCTTGGTACTTGTTGGTGTGTAAAACTAGGTCCTTTGCTTAATCCATGGAGTCTGAAGCTCTGCCTGGGTCACAAGACCTAAATGATATATAATATGCAGCTTTTCAGTGTTCTTGGCTCAGCCACACCTATCTTTGTAGATTATCTCTAGAAAGCTCTTCAGTCATCAGCAAACCTGTCTGTGTTCTTTTATTGCTGCCTACAAGTGAGAAGGGCTGTAGGTTGACCACTGCTGTTCACCTGGCTTTGTGGCACTGATGGGAACCAGAAAGGCATTGAGCATGCTGCAGCCAGGTATTACTTAATTTTCTTCTTACACGAGTTGAAAATTGGCCTTTGCTTTGATTAGAATTCCAGGGAGAGAACAAGATCCACAATGTTCGGTTTACATGGGCCTTTCTTTTTAAGTCTATGTAAGTGCAGCAAACATCAATTGCTCATAAAAGTGTTTTCCTTCGCAGTGGGGAAACAATTTTTTTATTACTGGCTTCTCTGCTTTCAAATGGAGAGTTAAAAAAAAAAAAAAGACTTGGAGAAAACCAGAGATGTGATATCACTGAGATCTGTCATGTGCAAGCAGGATGCATCGCTGCTAACTGCTTCCTCTACAGTTCTTGCAGAATCATAGAGTTGTTTTGGTTGGAAAAGTCCTTTAAGATCATTGAGTTAAACCACTAACCCAGCACTGCCAAGTCCACCACTAAATCATTTTCCCTGGCTCAGGTACAGCTGTGGGAGAAGTGGGGTGAGGGGGCTGAGACTGCAAGAGGTGTTTTCTTGCTACATACAAAGGGTCACTGCTTTTTTCAGGGCCTGTCCAGTCTTGTGAAGGTGGAAAAAAAGATGATTGAACCATTCCTCTATGAAACTAAGGAAAAGCAGCAGGCTGCCGCGCTGTGCAACACATCTCAAATGAAAAAGTAAAGTGAGCTTCCAGAAGAAAGAAAATAACAGGCATATAGCTAAAACGTTGCAGTGCCTACTTATATTGCACTGAGCAATTCTAGCTCTTCTCTGACCTTTTACATGTCCATACTCTCATTCCAAGAAAAAACATGGAACAGTGACACGAGGTTGAGGGTTTACGTGGTCAAAAGCTTATCATAGGGAGTATTAGAATGTGAATTTATTAGCCTATCAAATATTTTGATGCCTAGCTATATGGAATATCTACTCATGTACTGTCAATTGTCTTCTGTTCTGTAGATGTGAGGAAACTCATAGCAAATATCAATGAGCTCAGAGCATATATATATATATATAAGGTTTGTGGCTTACATCATATAGTGGTAACTCATACACTTTTGTACTGAAGTATAACAGATTCCTTCTAGCTAAAAGGTGCAGATAGAAATGAAAAGCTTTGAATTCATCAACTTTCAACAAAGTTAAGTAATTACAGTGTAAACGGGTGAAATACCAAACGTGACTTCACTTCTTGTTTATCGCTCTAAGAAGTTTACGTGCTTCCAAGAAAGATTTACACAGAGAACATAGATAAGTAAATAAATTGAGTGAGTACATGATTAATGCTTTTAAAATAGTAAATGCTTCCCATTTGTAACATTCTTGAAATAGATTGGCCATGTAGGCCTTGTTTTTCTTCCTGCTTTACAAGGCTGTCTGTGTTTTGTTTATTTACTGTACAAATTTACGTTCAATGCCTCCTTTTCTGTTTAATCCACAGGAGAATTTTGGTCACTGGCAAGATCATTAAACTGTATTAATATATGTTTAATTATATCTTTATAACAGAATATATATGATAAATTACTGTATGTGTAATTAAAAGGATTGAGCAAGTTGAATACTAACAAAGCAGGGGGAATTAAATTACATGATTTACATGACTGAGATCAAACTTAGTGTTAAGAAAAGGAGACATGTAGGCGCAGTTACATTTTGTCAAGAAACTGCAGGCCACAACTCACTGCAACAGATCTATCCTATGAGTATATATATACTTACTAATGCTTAGTATTGTCTGCTTACTGCTGTCCTCATGTGTTGCTGCTTGTTTTGTGCTATATCTAGCACAGTGGAAGGAAATGTTATTTCTACTTTTTAGTGTTTCTGCACGTTATAATTCTGGCAGAGATGCAGTGGCAATAAGGAGTGGGGCCTGGGAAAAGTTGATTTCTGAGGAATAAAGAGTCTGTAGAAGAGAAGTAGCTGTTCTTGGTTCACTTGCTAGTGACCGACCACACCATAAAAATCTTCATGCTTTGTGCAAAGCAGTGATTTCAGCAGTGTAACTGAATCCTGATTCTGCAGAAGACTATAGGCCCACTTGTGTGTTAAGCAAGTGCTCCAGGGCTTTCTCTGAGTGTAAGCCCAAAGATGGGAGTGTTGGAGAACAGCCTGTCCAGTTTGAACAAGCAACAGAAGCTCATTTGTGGCTGTTCCAAGCAAGGCAGTAGGAATTGGAAAACTATGTTAACCAAATTGGAAGTGTTTAGATGCAGGTAAATAGGCTGTCTGAAGAACACTCTAAATACAGTAAATATATAAATCAAGCTCAAAGAAAGAGATCCTTTCTAGCAAAATTCAGTGCCACCAATACAGTGGTTGCCATTTTGGGTTAGATGGAGCTCTTCTAATGATGCAGTAGTCAGCTTTAGTACCAGTTCAAATGCTGCCTCTGAATGACTTAGTGTCACAGAGATTGTTGTGTTACAGATTGTCATTTGTATGGTGAAATCAGGTGGGTTTGATGCTATGACTCGATTGCAGTAAGTTGGCATGGGGAAAAGAAAGTGTCTTTAGCACAGTGATGGGCATGATTCAGAGCTTTGAAACTGTCACCTGAACAGGGATTGAGTCTGGTACAAAAAGAGGCTTCTACTCCAGTCTTCCTGTGACTGCTCTTGCCCCAAATCCTTCAGCATTCAGATGCAAAACCTTAGAACTGAACCCTCCCAGATATGACTGGTGTTATTTCACTCTCATATGTTCTCTCCAACTCCCACAGAGTTCATGGTGTACAGTTTGAGTCTTGGATTCATCTTGCTATGGAGAGGTGCAAGCCATGAAGCCCATATTAAGGGGCTTGAAACGTCTTTTAGAACTGTGCTGTATTTGGCAATTTGTGTTCCTTTGGGATTGACAGTTTTTTGTTTTTTTTTTTTTGGCAGTTAAGTTTTCACTCCCTGAGTTTTGCTCTGAGATTCAGGTTCAAATAAATCTGAAATGTGGAGCAGAATTCAGTCCAAGTAAGTGAGTTTCCCATGGTTTCTGTCTGAAGCAATAAATCCTTCCTTGGAGAGAAAAGGGCAAACCTCTACCTTGGTTCATCCAGAAGATTTACAGATGCTTTTATGAACCTGGGTTTAATTTGGGGTTTGTAAGAAAGCCCTTTCCTATTTCTTCAACTCCTTTTTCAGCTCTAGGGTATAACCCTGGCTGTGTCAGAGTTAACAGGAGTTTTTCTACTCCCATTTGCAGCAAAGGCAGGATTTCCCACTCTGAAGTTCTGCATGTTTCTGTTTATTGCCCTTACAGGCCAAATACTGAGTTAGTGAGTATGCTTAGTGAAACACCTATTGATTTCAAAGCTGAATTTCAAAACCTTAGGATTTCATGCTATTCCCCTTAAGTCTATTAAAATTAGAAGTGTACTAGCTATCAGATGTACTGATGACAAAATTCAGTGGAGGAAATGTAGCTCACGGAGGGTAGATACATTCCTGGATCTATTTCCTGCATTTTTAACGAAGGCTCTTTGGCTGCCTTGAAAAATTCACATGCCCGCTTCCCCAGCACTCGTTGTACCATCTGTACACACAGCACACAGCGTACCTCCTGATTTTAAAAAGGAGGATTGTTCTGCTCTTCAACCCGCAGCCTGCGGTACCGCGTAAACCAGAGCAAAAACCGTCTGGCTAATCGATCCTTATTTAATAAACAGTGTTATCAATGCCTTTGAGACAGCTGTACAGTGGATGACATGGGGACATCAGGACATTTGCTGGCTTGCATTAATTGGCATGGCAACGTTGTGTTTTGGCCTGGCACACCAAATTGAAAATTGAATTTACAAAATCAAACTGTAGTTATCTACATTCCTTGATGTCCTCCCAGGTGAGCTACTGGGCTTCATGCTAATAACTTCTAAAGCAAGCAAACTTTAGCTAATTATGTGCTAGTTTATTCTCCCTTGCTAAATTTTGGCAGGTTGCTTCTGTAAATTATGAAAAATAAATGTGAAATATGCAGATGTCTTTTGTTTGAAGCAGATGTTTGGGCCCCCTTGCCAGAATCTAATCAGCTGTTTCCCTGGAGTTTTTTTTTTTTCTCCCCCCCTTCACCCCCAATAATGTCCAAGAGCTTTATGAAAACACAAAGGGTTGGGGGAGTACAGCACAATAGGATGTTGCTTTATTTACCACCTACCAGACTTCAAGGTAACTCAAGGTAGCTTTTTAGGGTCTTGTCTTCTCTTGTTAAAGCCACACCAGATGCTGGCAGAGGGCCCATAAGGCACAATATTGTCTGAGGACAGGCAGAATGTGAATGCACTACTTGCTTGTAGTGGGGGAGGTGGTGGCAAGTTGGGAGGGAGCCAGCAAAAGCTGGCTTTGAAGTCCTGATGGTACCGTGTGGCTGAGCCCCACAACTTGTGTGCTTCCCCCACAGGGAGCCCCACAGATGGGGGAGCTACACATCTCCAGGAGCATACTGCAGCTCTGTTAAAGGCAGGGTGGGTGGCAGGATCTGTTTTTTTCACTGTTGCCCCAAATCACTCCTCTCCATGCCC